ATGAAACCTTCACACCCCGTATTAAGGGCTGTTGGAGGCGCGATGCTATTGAAAAACAAATTGATACGGGCGTGCATTTCAGAAAAAAAGCAGCTAGTGGCGAACTCATTTCAAATCATGTCAAAATCAATATATAATAGTTCTGAAAGACGTAAAACGATATAGATCTCTTACGTTGAGCATCCTACCTATCTTCTCTTTATCACATTAACAGTCTCCTTTAAAACACACACATTCACACTCACGCACGTCCACACACTCCACACTCCCCCTCTGCCACACACTTTAGTAGGAATAACAGAGCTTTCTATTTCTCAGGCCAGCTTTGTACCATAAACGACAGTGGGGTGACGGGGGACGTAGACCACACTCCACACAAGTTCTCTGCGAAGGGCACTGTGAAGCTCAGTGACCTTTGGGACGCGGAGACAGGCTGCCATAAACAGATTTAGCCAGTCTCAAAGTCAAAAGTGCTCAAGAGCTGTGAAAGACCTATTGTAAAATCCTGCAACGCCAAATATCACCAGAATGTCTGGAAACGCAAAGCATATCTTTGATTGTTTTTGGTTTTTTAAACTCATCATTTTGTAGAAAGGGAATTCGATCACTTTAGAATGCAGACAAGACATGTAAAGGCAAACTAAAATTAGATATTACGCAGTAATCATTTTTAGCCTTAGAAGAACAGAGTGGCAGGTAATGGCGTCGTGAACTGGTGTTTCCGGACGTGGAAAACCTTCCAAGCAATGATAAAGTGAAGCAAAGATCCTCTGTCTAAATAAACAGGTTACAAAAAGTAATAAATAATATTAACAGATAACTCTGGCTTGAAGTTCAAGTTAAAATTCCGTGTTCGGCATTTGATTCGACACAGTTCAAAGGCTTGATTGTCAAGTTAATGAGTCCCAAAAAAATCCAACCATTTCACAAATGACGCATTGAACTAGCCTCTAAATACACACGAGTGTTTGTGTCATTTAGTCATGACACTAATCGCATTCACGCTGTGCTGAAAGTAGACTTGTTTGGGTGCTTAGTCTAATTACGTAGCTGTCAAAATACATTCGAATTAAGGTGTCATGCAAATTGTTGCTGCTGTGAATTGCACTTTACTCTTTCTTTGTTAAGTGAGCGTTAATCTACCGCAGTTTGTTACAAACCATGGATCCTGGTTCATATCTATTGCTTCTCGCCCTCGTTTTCATGTCAATAGGTTCTTTTGCGGGTTATAGAAGCAGATCCATGGAACCTTAATGAGTTTCTGCCAGTGTTGTCAGCGCTTCATGACAGGTTTTCCTGAATCCTTCTAAAATATATATTTGTATATTTGTAACATAGTATGGCCACGGAGGTTTGCGATTAAACAAAAAGCAAGAAAGACAATTGTGCCTTTTCCGTATGCCATTCCCTTCTTACCAATTTAACAAGGCAACGCACAAACATAAGATACAATTTTATCTCCTTTCATGGTCAACAACGCGTTTGATGACCTGAAAAGGCTGGAGCTGTTATGAACGACGTCCTCTCGGTGATCAAATTCAATAAAGCCACTTTAAGATCGCCTGGCATTATTTCATAGTCTTAGTTAATTATTGCAACAAATACTAGGTGCGCTTAACGAGTAATGTTTTGCATCAGATTGGCGTCGCTTTGTGAATATGATGCACTGTGTATTCATTAAAACATACACGGACACATGTGTGTTGTCATCGCTGCGTAAAAAGGAAAATATGTGAATATTACGCACTGCTTTCTTGTTTTAAAGGTAAAGAAATGATTAAAATTCAGTTGCCGTGATATATCGAAACGATTTCAAACGTAGATTTTGCTTAGGCCTACCGTTTTATCAGGTAGGCCAAAGCAAAATCTACATGATGCCAGCATGTGTCTTTCATTTACGCCTTCCCTTGAAGTGTCATGTATTTAAATCCATAAACAATTGGAGAAGTGTTAATTACATTTACTAGGGTTACTTAAAAAATCAGCATTTAGATTTTTGTTTTCGTATCCGCACATACATCGTGCCCTTTTTGAAGCAGTGTGTACAGACTACCTCACGGAGGACCGTACAGCCGTTATATTTATTAAATCATATGTAGCACATAAAAGTACAAAAATAATTCTGAATTGATGAAAATACTAGAAAGGCTTTTGTTGCGGTTTAAGATCCGCCTAACTAAGGAAGGTGGTTGTCGGTATTAAGGTAAACAGACACACATATCAGCTTCTTTTACTTGCGTAAACAGCAATATGATATAGCTCCGGTAACACTCCTGCAAGACTTTTATCAACTCAAAATAAACGTTTCGAAATTTCAAGAGCTCGCTGATATATCTTAAATCATAAATATCCGAGGCAATAGTTAATCGAACACCAAGGGGATTGTGCCAAGCAATGAGCTCACGCAATCTTACATTTGTACATGTATGCCTGATCACGCACAGACCAAGTCAGGAATGTCATTCAGTCAGGCGGCTGCAAGGAGCAGACGTTCACAGTTCACTGAAATGGCAACATCTGATTCCAAATGCAGACAGCACAGCAGTTTCCAGTGAACATAGCCTACTTCACCATAACTCAGACTGCAAACTGTTGAAGACAAACGTACAATTGCATGTTTAGATAGCTGACAGGACAACGCTGCACCGCCGCGCATTGCTTTACACTCATTTGCCAGTAGGGAGAGCCTTGTGGGTTTTAGAAACGGTTCATTGTAAAGGAGTGTGTGCGTACTGTGCACGTCATTTAAGAGAAGAATGTTTATTTGGTCTGCGTGCATGTTATAATGAACTTTACTTTGATATATAATTATCACACTTATAAATCCGCACTGCAAGGCAGAAGATGGGATACACAAGGAAAAGGCAGTCCAAAGGGCTCGACTATATGGAGCACTGGGGTGTAACCCCATTACTGCTTTACAGAGCTATTGCGTGTTTAGCTGCGCCGTTATAGGCTTGTAGCATACCAGTGACATTGATTAGGTCGAACTTCAAGAGAAACCACAAGGACGGAAAAGGGAATTTTACTTTAAACCAGTCTAGGTGTTTTGTAGTTGTTGTTGTGTCCCAGGCTTTATAAACACAATATTCAGTGTTAGTTTAAAATATGCACCTGGATGCAATTGTGCATTTTTGCCTATTTGTCTATAACCTACCTTTGCATCTGTTGCGGCAACAATAAAATAAATAAATAAATAAATAAAATAAAAAGCTCCCCCTGTGTGGGCTCTATTTTCTTACGTTTCACAGCATGTGTAATTAATGTGCCAACAAAACACTCTTTCAAATGCTTTCAAATGTCCTATTAATGTTCAAATCTTTATTTCAGTGTGGTGGACGCGTGTAGCTTTTAAACCGTGTTACAGGTCACGTCCAATAAAATAATCCCCACAGTTATCATTGGTGTTGAAGCAGAACATTCAGATAAGCAACATAATAACAGGCTAATACCAGTAACCTTTTCAATACTGTGTTTTATTGAAGACCTTACGCATATACATTCATATCATTATTACTTTTACAAGACAACGTAGCAATCCTTACAAGCGCAAAGAAAGGAATGCAATCGGAGTGACATAAAATAACGATAATAAACAACTACTACATTGAAACGTCGTTTTTTTAAATGTCATGAATGGTAAAACAATAATAATAATAATAATAATAATGATAATAATAATGATAATAATATTAAAAAAATAAAAACATTTGTAAAATTTTAAAAAATTAAACAAACCTTACATACCATTTCTTACCATTCTTGACACTATACACTTTTGGCCTACATTTCCAGCCCTTACAACCACAAATAGGCTATAGCCTATGGAATGCGATATTGTTACAAGACGGTCAATAACATAAAGCACTAGCCTATTACATAGCGATAAGGCCTCCTCAAATAGGATGCAAATACCAACATATGTCATTTCATTGAACAAAGTTGTACACAAGTACAGGGTAAAGAAAGGGGCAACACTGAGCACATTGCAAAAAGCAAGTACATTAATAGGTCTAATAGACCGTCCTCCCTCTCTAATAATAATTCTAGTAATAATAATTCTAATAATAATAATAATAATAATAATACATTCTTTGAAGACGTTTGAGTCCAAAAAGTTTTAGTTTGTTGGCATTTGTTTGGAAGAAAAAATATAAAAGTCACCTACAGAAAAAGTATCCTGCAGAACATGACTTATGATTATTTCACATCAATAACATGCTGAGAACATTTCACTGCTATAGCTTACTCGTTGTACATGACGGATAATGCACTGCATTCACTCTGAATTAAGGGAGCACACACATAAGCCTATGATTACATTTTTTTTAATTCTACATATTGATTTTAAAAAAAAATCATAAGCACCGAGTTTCTGAAATGCGCTTTCCCCAAAAAACAACTTATTCTCCCGCTGTTGCGAGTTTAGGCGGGTCCCTCGCTGTAACCGAGTTGGCCTTGAACACAGTTGTGTAGTACTGTTCAATCTTTCCATTACAGGTCCTCGCTAGTTCATTGTAAAATACACTTTTTTTGACTGGTACAGTCTGGACTTAAACTTTTTATAGCAGCTCAAACCCGTTTTCTAACGGTGACCTCACTAAACGAAAGAAACGCAACCCATGCAGGATTCAGTGGTTGATGTTAAGACACGTTTAAAAGCAATAAAAGTAGGGGTGAAAGAGGAAAATACCTTCAGAAATCTATTTGCACATGAACAAAGTCATGGCAATCAATTTTCAATGCGCAGTCATAAAAACATTGATATGAATTACACTGCGGTTTTAGTTCTCGCCTCCTCACGCAGACTCCCAGACTTCCAGATCTGCCGCCCGTGACCGTGAACGTGCCCATAAACGTGGCGAAAACTATGGAGACAAGATAAAGGCGTTGTTCCTCTTGCCTAACAAAGTATGGCATGTGGAGGTAAAGGCGACCGAAACCGAGATTCTTCTTTATCACTTCATAACTTCAGACATTTCTTTTTGCACTGATTCGCCCCAGTCAGGCTTCCCTGTCTGACTTCAGTATTATTTTTAGGCCTATTTCGAGGGCTCGCCGACTCTCCCGCCTTATTTTCTCTGACTAAAACGGTAACAATCCTGATGTCGTCACTATGTGTCAACCGAAAAGATGTTACACTAAAGACACATTTAGGCCGTACACTAATGTCATGACAGATCGGGATAAAGTAAAACACACGCACACAAACACATTCTCACAGCTTCTTCTGTGCGATTATACCAAAACGTGAAGACTCACTGACGTGTATAGCTTTGGATGCCAGGCAGCGGCTTGTTTAGGGTTTTTGCAACCCGCACCTTTGATATAAAAATATTAGAAATAAAGTAGGGTAATAAATGCTTGCAATGTAAAAGATGGGTAGATGGTTGCATGCACTAAAAGAAGACCTAAGGGAGCGTAGAAGGCTTGGCTTTTTCTTCTCTTTTTTTTTTCTTTTTCTTTTTTACTGCCTATCGATTCACCTTCTGCCGCATCTCTAAAAGTAGGCCAAAGCTTGCTCCCTCAGCATGAGTCTCTTCTTCTTCATCCTGCGGTTCTGGAACCAGATCTTGACTTGTTGGTCACTGAGGTTCAGACGATCGGAGAGTTCCCTCCGCCGCTGCCTGGTGATGAATTCGTTCAGCATAAATTCACCTTCTAACTCAGCCAGCTGAAGCTTGGAATAAGGTTTGCGCTTCTTTCTGGTCCGAGTGTGCATCGGGTACCACGGGGCACCTGGAGAAGAGGGGAGAGGAGGGGAGCACACAGTGGATTAGTCACCACGGTTGCAAAATCACGGTCACCTCCAAGGTTATGGGGAACCTAGTGGGGCATCAGCTGTCCAAGTCAAGTTGCCTCTCTAGTTAAGTCAGTATGCAATGCGCCATGTTAGAGCAAACCTGTTAAATAGCATTGTGATAAGGCGCTTTTCTAAATATGTGTATATGTAAATAAATGTATTATTTTGGTTTAGCTGGAGTAAGCTGATGTGATTTGCTAAACATCCATGATGTAGGGCTTGTGCTTTATCTTAAACTGAGAAAACGAATGCCCCTGGAAGCTGTCATTCCCTGCACATGTACCACGAATTTGTTTTGGTCTCTGACTCAAATCCAATATTTGTAAATCAGGACTTGTCCAGTTTCGTTTCATTTTTGTTCCCCACGTATAAAAAAAAATCAGCCACCTTTATGGAGCCCACCAATATACCGCGGTTTGTGTCACAGGAAGTTTTATTGTTGCAGTTAAAGCAGCATTAACGTGGTAATTGAGCCGTGCTTGCAAATACCCCGTACTTATTTGCGACTTTCAAAGCATATTAAATGACTCCTGAGTCTACAGCGACAGAGATTAATTCGGTTTACGAGTCATTAAAAAGAAAACTGTCTCTATTCGATGCAGTCAACCAAAGCGACTCACTTCTTGAAATCACTGCACTGATCTGTGTGAGTGCGAACAAAATAGACCAAAGTCAACCGTTTATATGTCTAAGTAACAGAACCTCGCCTAAGCTATAAAAAATAGAAGGCGGAACTGAATTGTTTACTCAAACGCTGCTTGTGATATGGATTGTTGGGGGTTATCGCTAACTGTACACACACACATGGCGCATGGAGTATTTTAGGGCAACCCCTAGTGGCGTTTGCACACCACGCAAGTACCCTGCAGGCTAACCTAAGCTGCATGTTGTGCATCAAGATAACGAGCTCTAATGACGGTTTAATACGGTAAATGTACGCTGTGCGCAGCCTGTTCTTTCTTATAAATAATGTGAAGGTGCGATTGTGAGAACTGTGGTTAAAAACAAAATACGCTCACCTCCGCCTGCGGCTATGTTGCTGGAATGGCTTCCCGGTGACACCAGGGTCTGTGTGTCGCTGGATGAAGGCTTGCTGCCCTCGTTGAGCAGAGAGGAGCTGGAATCGGACTCCATTGACTGACAGGATGGCGGGTCTTGCGTTAGCTGCTCGGTCCCATAATCGTATTTAGAAAAGGCAGCCGTGCTGCCAATTCCACTGTGCATCCCGTGGTCAGATGCTAGGGATGATGTGTCTCTCGCCCTATCCTCTCGTTTGAGACTGCTGCCACCTGAACAGGTCTCCCTATTCCCGTTGCCATTGTTGTAATAGCATTTGCCTTCCTCTGGTCTGGTAATTTCACACGACCGATTGAAGGAAGGGTTAATAGACACGGGGCTGCTAAAGTAGGATTGAGAGTATCCATTGCACGGCTCCGAAGGATTCCACGGGAGGGAGCAAACGTTGTCCCTTCTCGGGTACGAGAGAGACGGTAGCCCCGCCAGTTGTCCCCCTGAGGCTCTAAAATTCGGAAAGTAAAATGTGTCTCCAGTGTGGATGTTTACCAAAGGTCCCACAAACCCTGGATTAAGGAGATTATGCTCGCCCATTTCCGCGGGCCCGACCAACAGCTTCTAGTTTATTGCAATCTGACATTTAACGTAGTTAAACCTGGAGGAGCGCCTGATTGGTCATTCTCAGACCACGTGTCCAGGCTAAGTTCTGCTACACATGGTACCACCCACTTGGTCCATCTCAGACAAAACAAAACATTAACTTCTGTATTACTGAGGTTTATATGCTTTTTAAAAATACTATAAACCTTTTATTAAAAATGTAGAATCTTGTTTTTGCTCACTCGAGCAACGCCGCGTCCAAAAGGAGCCCAGACTGTTTCTCCTTTTACACTCGTGGAACTGTCCATGGCCTCGTTTAATATCTTTATAAGCTGGCAAAAGTTTTTTAAATGCTATTTCTTATGAAAACTATTTTTTCTTGAAGGAGAGGGTGCATATGACATCTTGTTTTCTAGCAAATTATGGTCGAATTCCGTGTCATATAAAGCTGTGATGTCCCAATTTTACAAGCTTGTTTTAAGAAAAGACTGATGCTCATTGCCGCACTCTACTCATATTTACAGTAACGGGGTCAGCAGGTTGAAGCCACTGGCTCTGTAAAGGAGGACGATATTCTACAAGGTTACTTTAAGAGGGTATATTTCACATAATATTCTCTAGTACACCTCACATGAACAACTTTAACAGATACCACCAATAAACGTTCGCAGCCAAACTCTGGTGGGATTGTTATACCTCTCACAATTCTTTTATATGAATTTTACAAGATATCAGAGGGCCCTTAGCTGATTCAATCAGCCGAGAGTCTCTCTGCTTTATAACGCACTAATTAGTTGATTTGTGGATGCAGCTCGGAAGACACTGAACAAATATGAGATATTCTGTGATACCGTCATCCTATTTTCTGACAAAAGCGCTCTGTTTACGCACGCACACACACACACGCAAACTTTTCAGAGTCCGCCAAAGTGCAGTTTCTTTCAAAAATAATAATTAAAAAAATCACTATCATATGCACGTGATTTAGGTATTCTGCAAACAGCTGGCCCAACTATTTCTAATGTGGTCCGTGGTCATCAAATGACCATAATCCTCGTACATATTCTTATAAGTGATCCATGGCTTTTGCATTCCCCTCAAGGATACACAGGCTTCTTATTCTTGAAAATAAATAAATAAATCTAAGAAGACTGCACAGTCGTTTAAACTCTTTCAGTATTATACGAGTCCAGCAACAGTTTATTGCAATTGCCCTGCAAATTCAAATTTTGCTACCACCACCACTACCAAAAATCAATTTATATAATTACTAAAGTTGTCATAATCCAGTCTCCGCTTATTTCAATCAAGGTGGTTTAAAAAGTCCGACGACATATATTTAAAAAAAAATCATAGCCCACTTATGTCATCGTCAGCCTACTCAAGTTCACGACACAAGGTGGGATGAACTTGATGTTGAACTTTAATACTCCATTAAAATAAAGGAATAGATATGAGGTTCAGCAAACTGCAGTATGTATTGTGAGAGTTGATATCTCCATTAAATGTAAAGATATGTAATCCGTATATTTGATAATGCACCGAATTCCATGTTGCTTATTAAAAACAAATGTAAAAATATCAGCCTTGTTAACATAGCACCAAGAAAAGAAAATCTGTTGTAAAGGTCCAAATATAAAATACATTAATATTCCCTTTATTTATTGACAGCAGCACTATGAATGTATGCATTAACAGAAATGCGCCGGCTTACAGAAGCCTGCACATGCGTGCTGAATGTCGCTAGTTGCCAATTAGAAATTTGCCAATGAGGTGTTATGTGAGAACATTAGCATTCACCTAAACACTGGTTTGGGAACGATTTGCAAGTCAGCCGATATCTGATAGCTGTGTCCGTAACTTGTGACCATGTATCCAATCTGACCGAAAGGCACCGGGCCTCGCTCTAGCCTTAAATAGAAAGAACAAATATCAAATGTTTAAACTGGAGAAGCTCTTGGGGATCTGTCGGGGTTTATCTCTCTCCCTGGTCTCACTGCCTCTCCTATCACTGCACATTCTTGCATCTAGTTAGGGAGTCTCGCAATGCAGCACAACATCAATCCAGTATAATATCTTAGGCCTCGGTCTTATGAAAAGCATTTGGGTGCCTCGCTATCACTTCACAGCTTCTCATGTTATTATAACAGTTGACAAAAGCAAAACAGCACAGTGTGATGTTTACAACAAAATGTCCCGGACGTCCATGCGTTAAGTAATGTGCAGGCTTAAGTCGCCACTTTACCTCGGAGAAAGAGGCCATGTGTTGCGCCTCCTTGCCTCGTCTCTCCACGCCTCTGATCCAAAGTATCCCACAGATCCGGATTGCAAACAACTGCACGTCTGTTCTGTGCATCTTTAGCTCGACGATGATGTCATATGTGACCGTGGGCTATAGGCCTTGTGCTCTAGCATAACGAAAATCTATTATTTAAAATAAAGGACTTAAAGCATATAGCACTGTCAAGGTCACTGTCTAGTACACTGTCTGCTCGATATTGAAAACAGTCTCGTGCAATCCCCTGGTCCCTGTCCAGACAGGGCAATAGCCTAAACAAAGGGCTTTTCTTCCCCTTTTCTCTCTTTGATTCTCGGCAGGCAGGTTGCCACAGTTATAGCTATGTGCAACCCCTTAAAAGCCTCCTTCAAGAAAAACTAACCACCAAGGGAAGTATAAGGAACCACAAAGTGGTAACGTTTTAGATGAAATGTTTTGGAAGAGCGTTTTTGGTTTGTTTACAGCAACACACTATGTTTTATGCGGTTTTCTTGCAAAAATAACTATATGCATTCTTTTGATAAAATACGAATTCTGCTACTTATATCTCTAAGAACAGCGCATATCATTCCGAGGGAAAATGATATTATTATTATTTTGAATTTCAAATTAAGGAAGCTAAAAAACAACCCAAATAGAATACGTATTCATTATAATTTAACCCGGATATTGTTGTGTAAAAATTAAAAAATTCAAATACGCAAACTAAGGATCAATAGTAAAGCTTCACTTTATAGAAATCAATATCTGAACCTGACCGTCACTTTGTGCTCAGCTGTATCGAAAGAAACTGTCAAAAAATGTTAGACAAGAATATTTTTTCTTTGATTTCTTTATTTTATTAGCTGGATTAATTTTTAATCCAAACTTGACAACTTTAGTATCCTGTGCGCCTGTATAGTAAAATGTTTAATCAAAAAATTTGACTATAAAGTGTTAATTAACTAGGGCTGTTTATGACTATTAGATTATGAATTTTCGAACAAAACTTGGCTTGTATGCCTAGCAAGATTTAATTCACTTGTAACATGTTTGAACAGTGTGCAACTTTTAAAAAATATGAAGTCGCCTTTTTTCCAGTGAGGTCAACAAATAAATGCATAAATAAATAAAACAACTAAACGCTGAAAGTCTCGGTAGCCTTCTGCGTCTTACATTGATCGAGCATATTATGCCTAGAATACATCAAATAACACATTTACAGACATCAAATAATTTTGCACTGATGGTATAATATAAGGTTTAATTCAGACAGCAGTGCCCTTGCAAAATAACTAAGATAAAAATGGCATTCTGTCAGCTTTAAACGTCAGGCTTCAACTTTAAATGCTGACAGAAAACTTTCCTTTTTTAAAAATCTTTTTTACTTTAAAATAATTGGACAAAATGAAACAAAGGTAAGCTCCGTGTTCCGCAAATATTGTCAAAAGCACTGAAAAAGATGTCAACCAGGCGCTAAAACTAGACATGAACGAAAACACATTAAGAAAAATGCTGTTGCAACACTTCCTGATATTTTCCTCTGGTCACCACCAGAGGTTATCAGCCCCCTTTTTCATAGCTGACGGTGGCCTGCTGCTTTCACACCTCCACATACAGCAAAACGCAAGGGCTACTTTTTTCTTTTAGTTTTGAAGCAGTTTTGTATGGTATAATATGCTGCATAATTCCCCGTTTGGCACATAAACTACTAACCTGGCTATTTAACATATTTGGCATAGATGTCGATTTGGGCCTAAAACCGAGCAGATGAAAAAAGGGGAACCGTGTAGCTTATTGCGACGCTGATACATTTACACGAGTTTATGTACTGTACCATTTCTCGTTCTTCATATATGTATATGTAAAACGCTTTAAAAACATGGTTGTTACAGCATTACACACGCGTATGTTTTAAAGCGCATTTTCCGCTCGTTTCACTGCATTTTGCTGGTGTAGATTAGCCAATTTATGTGGCAAATTACTGGTCGGACTTTAAATACACAGCTAAAGAAAAAATACGTAGCGCATACTTTTGTTCTGAAACAAAATACATATAAACAGCTGTGCATTTTTACATATGAAAACGTTCACGTCGTCGCTGTACGAAGTGTAGCTCATCGACAGAAATAAACCACATTTAAAAATCAAGGTTATGCTTGTCACAGCATATTCTTCCTTACTTTTGTTTTTTCAGTGTACTTTTTTTTGAAAGCTACAAAATGTCCTAAAACAAAGTCCATGTAGGCCTACTGCCATATTAGGAAGAAAACAGCCGTACCTTTAATTGTTTTATTGTGGGCGACGTCGTATAATTATTTCCTCTTGCTGTGTAGGCAGTATGGCTGCTTGCTGAGGGTTACTGATGTTGGTGTGAGGCGTCAAAAGTTCTACCTGTCCTCCGTGGTCAATAACACACACACCTCATGATGAGTGCATGAAACCATTGGTGGTTTGGGAGGTACGGGCTAGAACAAGTACTTTTAGATGACTTCTTAAAAAAAGAGGGGGGGTGAAAGAAAAGAAAAAAACAACTGAGTCAAAATGTTAATGCACCGCTCTTAGAGATGGTCAGAGTCGCAGGTCAGAGGATATCGCTACACTTCCCCTTTTTATGTATTTATGGCATGTCATTAAGCCCGTCTGTCTAGACTGGGAAATAACACCTTGTTTGCCTACAAACAAACCGTCAGCAGTGGTGTCCAACCCCCTATTTATTATTCACAATCCGCTGTGATGTCAAGGTCAAAGTGACTGCATAGTCATGGTCAAGGGTAAATTAGAGGAGCCAGAACTTTCTACAAGGACTGAAAATCCAGGAAACGAACGAACAAAAGTTGAAATCTGGCGGCTTAGAGCCTCAAGTCTGACACAGCGCGCCAGAAATTGGCACATAAAGAAATGAAAGTGCACAGCAAAACTTAGACTAATGATCAATTCGGTTGGATTTGTTTGTTTGTTTTTTTAGGGATTAGCTTTAACGTTAGATTTAATATGAAAGGCCTCAGACGTAAAATGCTAAGACTAAAGAAAGGCACAGAAACCGTTTTCACGCTTTACATCTCACACGAAAAGTCATATACCTGGGTTTTAATTCAGATAAAACATTTAATCACAGACTTGATGTGGGCTAGTCACCAGGAGCTTAAAATAAACTGACCGCATCTTCAATTATTCTCAGGACACTCGTGTCTAACCGTTTATGTCCGCGTATTATTCTTCTCCCGTCATTTCCTGTTGCACAAGTAGCCTAGCCTAACTTACCTTTGAGAAATTCATGACTAAAGTCTGCATGTGAAACAAGTGGGTGCGTGTAAAATACAACAAAACCTTCTCTTTAAACACATAAAAAACATGTACATAAACAAAACCACACAGACTTGTTGCATAATGTTGCCTTGGTGGGGAATTGTGTTTTTAGCGTCAGTGCGTAATTGACCTACTATTAAGACGCAGATAGACCGTGTGTGTGTGTGTGTGTGTGTGTGTGTGTGTGTGTGTGTGTGTGTGTGTGTGTGTGTGTGTGTGTGTGTGTGTGTGGCTGGGTGAAATGGCTTCTCAACTTAACTACAACTGCAACCTGTGTATAGGTTTACCTGGAACAACTCCGTACTGCAATTACAGCAGGCTCGAGCCTGTATACCGAATCCAGCGAAGGACTAAAACTACATTTACCAAAGCAAATGCTTTGCCTTTTAAATCTACTCAGGTTTTGTCAGTATGTTGGAAAATATTAATCAGCAAAATATGTTCTGAATAAATACTCTCAGTACAGATGGTGTCTAATTAAGACAATGTTTCTTGCCCTCTTAAAGGTTGCCGGTTTTTACGTTTCCGTTAGACCCACAACAAAACACTTTTGTACCTGTGGACGGAAAATAATAAGGATGAAAATAATAACCCGCTAAATGTTCGCGTGAGAGCGGGTAGATAAGCCATTTGATTCGCTGAATGCCAGTTATTCTGAAACTTGAACGAATGCTAATAACAGAAAAAAAATGCACTGCCTTTAACTTTGATGGAAATTGCGGTGGAATTTTGCGGTACAAACTTCGTGAGCACATTTCTCCGTTTCTCAAAGCTGATCTATGTAAATAAACGGGTCCTGTAAGTCTCAACATTGTAGTTCTCTGTGGAAGAAAGAAGTAAATTCCAGCATAGTTATTCATTTATGTTTTTCTGACTTTGCAAGTGCCAGTATGCCTTGTTGCGCACTAATCGTGACTAATCACTGTATCATCCCTGCTTGCCAACAAGATGACTCCAGGTTGCCCAGTTATTCTTAATCGAGTATTGTGCGAAATAAAAATCTGGACTCGCCCATCCGTTGCTGGGATGTTGTAGAGGAAAAGCGATAGAGGTCTGGGTCTCTGCTACTTAGTAGCACCGGTGTAACTTGAAACGAAAGGAAATGCTGCGAGGAGGGTGGCTGATTGACTTGGATATTTGAGCATTTTCATAATCATCATTTATTTATGAAACACGTTATCAGTACGTAATTCAACACCACAAAACAGTTCACATACTGCACCAAAGTAGAAATTACAGGCGTCGTACAAGGCGTGTGATCATCTCCAATGTTACACCAACGAAGTCAAAACAAGATAGAAACGATTGTGCATTTATGTGTAATACTCACTGACTTTAATGGTTTACAATCATTCCGGTTGCATGACAGAATCCTTCACTGATAAAAGGAAAAAATACAGGTTTGGGGGATATTCCAGTTTACATTTCCGCCATACTAGATAATATGAATTAAATAAGAAAGGCATTGCACTGTACAGATTAACGACATAGCAGCCTTTGTTTTACCCCAGGCTTTACATATCCCACACACATAGCTTTTGAAATTCAGATGTAACATTTTTTTTCTTTTTCTTTCTTTTTCCTTTTTTTATTTAGAAAATTATTCTTTCTTCCGAAAGTCTTTTGTTGAAGACGATAAAGTCTCAAGTTCAGCATGTCTTTTCGCCACCGCAACCATTGTCCATGCGGCGACTACAGTTCAAAAATGACATTAAACCGTGTCCTCTGTTTTGATCAGTTGCAAGTATTGAAATATCATCAGTCCTTTTGAAATCTTAGAAAAAGGAAACAGGAAAAGAAACACACAATACTTGTCTTTGAAATACTAATATCGTTTTAAATATTATATATTTATATATGTACATTCCTATAAAACAAAATGTGAAGTGAATTTTTATATTTTCACAGTTTTTAGAGCATTATCTCTAAATTGAAATCGGAGACCTTGGTTGCGTGGTCGGTGGAGTTGATGATGGAACTTAAATTAAAAATACAAAAGAAATTTCTTCAACTACGATTGGAAGAGGTAAATATATGGCAAGATGATTTGGAAAGTGTGACTTGCAGTTTCAAGAAAGTCGCTCATCCATTCAAGTGGTGTGCATATGACTGTTCTTGGATTTACTGACAAATTTCTTCTCCTTGACTCGTCGGTTTTGGAACCAGATGGTGACTTGACGCTCTGAAAGGTTGGTGGCGGCCGAGATGCGCCTTCTCTTGTCTTTGGTGATGAACTTGCTCGCTGCATACTCTTTTTCCAGTTCCTTGAGCTGGATTTTGGTGTAAGGGACACGCTTTTTACGCCCTCGACGATAACTGCTGACCTCAGGCTGCAATGGCACAACATCTGCAAGAAAATAGGAACAGTTCCAGGAAAATATTAGTCGCTGTGCAAAATAGCACAATGTTTCATTTCACAAAACCAGCAATGCTGCGTTTGACAAGGCCGGTCAAATTTGGATGGACTCTACTGGAGTGAAAATAGGAAAATACAATCTCTTTGACTGTGTGTGTGTGTGTGTGTGTGTGTGTGTGTGTGTGTGTGTGTGTGT